GTGTATTGAACATGAGTACTAAGAAATTTGAAAGGGCGGCGCTTGTGGCTCACAGGGATAGGGCACTGGCCCCATATGCCAGAGGTGGCAGGTTCAAACCCAGCCCCGGCCAAAAACTGCAAAAAAGAAAGAAAAGAAAAGAAAATTGAAAGGTCAGCCCCATGTAATAGCTCACACCTATAATTGTAGCACTCTGGGAGGCCTAAGTGAGAGAATCCTTTGAGCTCAGGAGTTCAGGACCAGCCTGAGCAAGAGTGAGACCCCGTCTCTACTAAAAATACAAAAATTAGCCAGGCGTTATAGCAGATGCCTATAGTGCCACCTACTCAGGAGGCTGAGGCAGGAGGATCCCTTGCTAAAGGAATACACGGCGGCGCCTGTGGCTCAGGGCGCTGGCCAAACTGCAACAAAAAAACAGCTGGGTGTTAGGGCAGGCAACTATAGTCCCAGCTACTTGGGAGGCTGAGGCAAGAGAATCGCCTAAGCCTAGGAGTTGGAGATTGCTGTGAGCTGTGATGCCTACTGATGGCAATAAAATAAGACTCTGTCTCTAAAAAAAATAATAAAGAAATAAAGGAATACACCCTTTGGTGAGTGATTGTTTTAGTTCTTTTGCTTTGGAACCTAAAATAAAAGCAAGCCTGATTTCAGTTTCATAAAGGAAGCATTCACTGTGCTGGCAATCAGACAGTCTAATATTAAGAACTAACACACAGGGCAGCACCTGTGGCTTAGTGGGTAGGGCACTGGCACCATATACTAAGTGTGGCAGGTTCAAACCCGGCCTGGGCCAAACTGCAACAAAAAATAGCCAGGCGTTGTGGCAGGTCCCTTTAGTCCCAGTTACTTGGGAGGCTGAGGCAAGAGAATCACCTAAGCCCAGGAGTTGGAGGTTGCTGTGGCCTGTGTCACCACGGCACTCTACCGAGGGTGATAAAGTGGGGCTGTGTCTCAAAAAAAAAAAAAGAACTAACACAACACTTTATGACAGAGATCCTGTGCTCTTTGAGTGGATTGAAAGAAATCTCAGACTTCTGAATTTTTTGTTTGTTTTTAAGAAAGAGTTTCACTGTATTTCCCTCGGTAGAGTACCCTGGCGTCAGCTCACACAACCTCAAACTCTTGGGCTCAAGCGATTCTCTTGCCTCCCTCCCAAGTAGCTGGGACTACAGGTGCGCACCACAATGCCTGGCTATTTTTTTGTTGCAGTTTGGGCAGGGTTGGG